ACCACCAGTGCTGAGTCCATTCCTGACAGACATCCTGTAAGGACGTTATTCCACTGCACAGCTTCTTGCCTGACGGGGAAGGAGAGGGGAGTGGTGGAGACGTAGAACGATTTTGGTCTCGCTTAGCTCTGCGTTCCCTCTTTGGACATCATGTCTGGAAACTTTGATGATTCAGTCGGAGTAGAAGTGTCAAGCGACAGCTTCTGGGAGTGAGTTGTTGGCTGGCTGCTTTATACCGGAGGGGACCTGGCTGTTCCTTGTGAGGGGGATATCATCTACCTGAACAGGTGTCCATTACGTGAGGGAGCCTCACCAGTGAAGATTACTGGCTCCAAATAACTAAAGCGTTTTGGCCCTTTGAGGGTCTCATCAAGGAGGTGAGGGGGCATTTTAGCCACATACGGATTATTTCCATCAGTGGTGATGCACATCCACAATATCACTTGCACTTAGAAGTATTTGGAAGGTTTTGGTGTATATGCACCCATTTGGACTTGGACTTGGATTTTTTTTGTTCTTGATGTTTACGGACTATTAAATGTTCACTTATTTTAATTGATGTGTTTGCTCATGAATATATTTTTTGTATGTGTGTTTTATGACACTTGGCACTATTGTATTTAATTGATCACACATTTAGGGATCCATTTTATGTCACTATTTATTTTAATTATGGCTTAATTTAGCCATTATTTGTGGTCACGATTTGCATGATATTGTTGATCCATATTAGGGGTTTACGTTTTTTATTTTCACCATCATTTGCATGAATTTATTGATCCCTATTTAGGGATTCACGTTTTATTGTTTTGTTTTTTCATATTTTTTGTATGTTCCTATTTTGGATAGTGGGGGTATTGGTTCCTGGTCCTTTATACCAGGTATGATCACTTTTTTCACTCGAGATTCCAGAGAGGATCAATCCACTGATTTATTGGCACGTATATATATTTATGTCACCTATATTGAGATCCCTGAGAGGATCAATCCACTGATTTTTTTGTCACATATATATATATTTATGTCACTTTGTTCTATTTTCTGCTATACTGTATTATTTTACTATTAGGGTAGCGTTGCATCATTTTGGTTGAGTTAGTTTTTATTTCCACTTGGTATACGGTTAGGTGCTAGCAGCTCCCACACACTTAATTTACCATGTAATAGTAGCGCAGGAGATCTCCATTATTTCAGTCATTTCTAATGTTTACTGACTAGTGATTTTAGTTATTTGATTGAGCTGCTAAAATTTACATCTTTTTCAACCATTTGTCTATATTTTATATTACATTTCTTAACCTCAGATATTTAACTGTTGGATTACTTATAAGAGTAAATGGCTCCTTTCTACATTTTGCCATAAAATTGATAGGGCAAAGCCTTAATAATGGCCAATGTGGGTGGTAGAGCTAAGAAATTTCAATGCTGGAATCACGTAGAGATTTAAGGTATCAAATATATTAATCTAAACTACTTAAGCATATTGCTGTAGAGCAACCAGCATTTTCATGACAAATTGGAGTTTGAGAATAATCACAGTGCATTCATTATAAGAGTACAGTCTCACTTATATGTACTTTTATTTTGGGTTAAAAAATGAGCAAAGTAACAGGCTCATTTATACCAGCTATTCCCTAGGCCTGAAGTGCTATCATATGAAGGGCAGGAGGCACCTATTTCTTAAAAAAAAAAAAAAAAAAAATTGTACAACTTTGAGCAATGATTTGATGGGGCTGAGGTCCTAAATTGACAAGCTAGTAGCCAAAATTGTCATCTCACTGTTTTGGAAGGTCTGTTGGCTGGAGGATGCTGTCTACTTGTTACAGGTTCCTTCGGTCTCCTCCGTCTGTCAGGGCCGGATTCGGGCACCAGGCATTTTCTGTGTCTGCTGCATCGGCTCAGCAAAGAGATTATTCCCCACAGCAAATCATACCCCCACCTGCCAAGTATGGAGGAAGACACACAGTAATAATGATCACAGGGGATGGCATTGGACCAGAACTTGTGCTGCATGTAAAAGACGTTTCTCGAGAGTATTATTGTGAGGGTGCCTACCTGCCTATCTTCTTACCAGAGGAAGTAACAACAGTGGTGCTGCAGGATACCAGTGTGGTTATAGTTCCCAGGAAACCAGGCTGAAGGGAGTGCATATACAGGGAGGGTCCAGAGGTGATCCAAAAGGCTTTGTGGCCCTTTGGGGTCGCCGAGCGGAGGTGAGAGGCCATTGCAGCCATTTTAGGATCACTTATCGGTGTGTTGTGCATCCACACTGTATATGTCGCATGACCAGAAGGAGTGAAGCACCTTGTTTTTGGTTTCACAGAAATTGGACTTTTTGCACTATTGTACCTTTGTTGTAATTATTTTTTAATGTATATTATTAATATTTTTTTTGTATGTCACCATGTCTTTTACTGTTTTGAGCACAGAGTGTGTTTTTTATCCCTCAATAGGGATTCACATTATTTATGCAATATAGTTTATATCAATATAGGTTTGTGTCCCAGTTTATTGGGTACCACCGGTCACCGGTTATTTGTGGTTATATCCCTACAGGGATTGGGTTCACATTTTTATCATTATTATATCACACCATTCATAGGACCTCGTGTGGTTTGGAGCACGTATTCATGTTATATTGTTATGTATTTATTGTATGTAGCGCTACACTATTTTCTATTGTATCATCCTTATGATCCTAACACATTATATCAGTCTAGATATCCAGCATGATATTTTCCCCATTGGGATCTGAATGTGTTTTCAAAGTGTTCCTTTAATTTTTTTTTGAGCAGTATATATATATATATATATATACACAGTTGCAAGAAAAAGTATGTGAACCCCTTGGGATTACGTGGAGTTTTGCATGAATTGGGCATAAAATGTGCTCTGAACGTCATCTAAGTCACAACAATAGAAGAACACAGTCTGCTGAACATAATACTACACAAACATTAGATGTTGCCATGGTTTATGTGTACATAACATGTAAACATTCACAGTGCAGGGAGGAAAAAGTATGTGAACCTTTGGACTTAATAACTGGTTGACCCTCCTTTGGCAGCAATAACCTCAACCAAACGTTTCCTGTAGTTGCAGATCAGACCTGCACAACGATCTGGAGTAATTTTGGACCACTCTTCTTCACAAAACTGTTTCAGTGTAGCAATATTCTTGGGATGTCTGGTGTGAATCGCTCTCTTAAGGTCATGCCACAGCATTTCAATCGGGTTGAGGTCAGGACGTATTCTGTGGTGTTGCAATCATTGTTTTGTTGAATTACTTGTATGTTTTGGGTCATTGTCCTGTTGCATCACCCATCCTCAGTAGAGCTTCAGTTGGCGGACAGATGGTCGTACGTTTTCCTGCAAAATGTCTTGATAAACTCTGGAATTAATTTTCCCATCAATGACAACAATCCGTCCAGGCCCTGAGGCAGCAAAGCAGCCCCAAACCATGATGCTCCCTCCGCCATGTTTTACAGTGGGGATGAGGATTTGATGTTGGTGTGCTGTGTTGTGTGTTCTTCCCAAACAACTCAATCTTGGTTTCATCTGTCCACAGTATATTTTGCCAGTAGTGCTGTGGAACATCCAGGTGCTCTTTTGCAAACTTCAAACGTGCTGCAATATTCGTTTGGACAGTAATGGCTTCCTCCATGGTGTCCTCTCATGTACTCCATTCTTGTTTAATGTTTTCCTTATTGTAGATATGTCAACAAAAATGTTAGCATGTGCCAGAGATTTCTGTAGGTCTTTAGCTGACGCTCTGGGATTCTTCTTTACCTCATGCAGCATTCTGTGCTGTGCTCTTGCAGTCATTTTTACAGGATGACCATGCCTAGGGAGAGTAGCAACCAGTGCTAAACTTTCTCCATTTGTAGACAGTCTGTCTTACCGTGTACACATGAACATCAAGGCTTTTGGAGATACTTTTGTAACCCTTTCCAGCTTCATGCAAGTCAACAATTCTTGATCGTAGGTCTTCTGAGAGCTCTTTTCTGCGAGGCATGGTTCACATCAGACAGTGCTTCTTGAAACCAGTAAACCCAAAACAGGTGTGTGTTTTTTAAGGGCAGGACAGCTGTCAGCAACACATCCAATATCATCACACTGATTGGAGTCAAGGTTGGCTCACTCCTGGCTCCAATTAGCTCTGGGAGAAGTCATTAAGCTAGGGCCTCACATACTTTTTCCTCCCTGCACTGCGAATGTTTACATGTTATGTGCAATTAAACCATGGTAACATCTAATGTTTGTGTAGTATTATGTTCAGCAGACTGTGTTCTTCTATTGTTGTGACTTAGATGACGTTCAGAGCACATTTTATGCCCAATTCATGCAAAACTCCACGTAATCCCAAGGGGTTCACATACTTTTTCTTGCAACTGTATATATATGCCTTTACATAAACTTTTTAAATGCCTTTACAATCACTAAGTATAGTGTGTATTGATACCATTGACACATGTTTTGACATTTTCTTTCCTGTTCTACACCTTCATATGATGTAATTTCTCTGCTTGTATAGCTTTATAGCATACAGTAATTGTAAATAATACATTTTGCACATAGTAACATATACAGAAAATTAAGCATGTATAATCAAAATCGAATGTGCACTGTATATGGTCCACATATGTTGCATGCCTGTTATTGTCTAAAGCTCAATTAACTCAAGGGATTTAACAAATCTACATATATATTTGTATTTTGTAGCAGTCTGTAGATTTCTGGGGGAGCAGAATCATGTAGCCTGTTTTGAAATCCAATAAATATGCATATTCATTAATAAATCCTGTGAAATCTGTATTATTTAAGTGGGATTTATATTCATAATATATTACAGATAATATAAGAGGTCATATCACATTTTAGAGCAGACTATTGTATTACCTTTCAGAATAACCCACTGTTCCTTATTAATATTTATAAAGCTCTAGTAAAGTACATCATTATTGCTTTTATATTATTAAACTAAGGTTTTCCTTATCTTAGCCCTGGATACCACGAAGGACCCTTGCCAGAAAGTGAAATGCAGTCGACATAAGGTTTGCATAGCCCACGGCTACCAGAAAGCTATGTGTATAAGTCGCAAGAAGTTGGAACACAGGTAGTTAATAAATATATTTTAATGATATTATGTTATAAATCTTACCAAACATTCATTAACTTTTGTCCACTTTATTAACTTTTTAAAAGTAAAAATGGGCCTTGCAAAAAACAGTCAGACCAACACTGCCCACTCATGCAGCAAAGTAAATTAAATTTTTTATATTATTATTATTTTACAGGATTTATATAGCACCAACAGTTTGCTGAGCGCTTTACAATATAAAGGGAGACAATACAGCAATGATAGAGTTTGATACAAGAGGGTTAGGAGGGTCCTGCTCCTTGGAGCTTACAATCTAATACATTAACTGTATAATAAACTGATGTAAAGAGCCTCATCCCACATATCCATTTTGTAATTTGCAACCTGGTATTGAGACAATGTCAAAGTAGTATGGATGGTCCAGATAAGCCTTTCTCAACCACGGTGCCCAGATACCCTGGGGTGCCTTGTGGTTTCTTCAGAGGTGCCGTGGCAAAATGTCTAAAAATTGCCCAAAACATGTATACAAGCCAACGGGTGGAACAAGCCTGCCTTTTAGTTACACAAAGTCGCAGGTTTTCATTGCCCACCATTACGACCTTCTTGCCGTTGGTGTCCTGACAACCAATGGCATCATCAGTTGAGAAGGAGGATGTCAGTTGCCTGCACAGCAGTCTAGTTTGACCCTCTCCTGCCCCTCTCCATCAGTGCTGGGGTCTCATTAGCTCAGTGATGGAGAAAAATTGAGGGAGAAGGAAACCTTGGAATTCTACTCAGTACCAGTGTGCAAAAGTGTATTTGCTCTGGAAGAATAAATCACCTCTAGTGTTGGGTGTCCTACATGTGTAGATGTTGCTGTGTTATATAAAACTATTAGAATAGTTTTTCACATTTTAGAATGGGGTACCCTTTTAAAATTATGGACAGTCCCGAGGCACCCTTTAAAATTATGGACAGTCTTGAGGTGCCTTGGGACTGTCTATAATTTTAAAGGGTGCCTTGATTGAAAAAAGGTTGAGAAACACTGGTCCAGATGATGTGATCTTCAATAAATTTGAGATCAGCAGTTTCCATATCTTAACCCTTTTGATTCCAGAGCCATTTTTGCACACATTTTGCAAAATAATAATTTTGTGCCCAGAACATGTTGGCCCCCCCAAACAGTATACAGTACATTTTCTGAAAGCAGAGACCATGAAGAATAAAATGGTGAAAGTTCAAATGTGTATGCCACATGATAATAGCTCATTGGTTTAACAAACGTGATGTTCAGAAAAAAAATACACAAACTTAATTAACAAATGAAATACATTATGAATATTTTGGTAAAATATAAAAGATGACGTCCTGCTGTGTAAAAAAGATACTCTACATGTCAAGCCTTAAAATCACCTGCAGGGGTGAGATACTTTGGTGCCCAAAATATTCTGTTGGTGATGCTTTAAAAGCTTTTAGAGGCATGAATTTAGAGTTAACAGTGAATAATGGGCCTGGAATTATTGATCAGACTGTGGTGTGCATACATGTCAATCAGATGGCTGTAGGCTCCAGTGTCTGTCTACATTCTGGCTGCTCCTGCACATTACAGACTCCAGACTTCTGTGGATCCCCTGCCCTTCATTTGCAGACTCAGGAGTCAGCCCCATAGAAATCTGTAGGGCTGTAATGCGTAGGCATGGTCATGACAGCTCTGGATATAAACAAATTCACGGCCTTTGGATTGACGAAAACATATATCTGTGGAGGGGGAGAGTGGGTTCGTTTAGGTCAGTGTATGGGGGCAAAAATGAGAAGTGCACAAATCCTGAAAATATTATTATCATTATTATTATATTATATAGCGCCAACGGTTTGCTCAGCACTTACAATATAACGGGAGACAATACAGCAACAATACAGTTCAATACAAGAGGGATAGGAGGACCCTGCTCCTTGGAGCTTACAATCTAGGAGGGATATAAAACACTCCATTCTAAATTTACTGTTCAATTGCCTATTATTATTTTTTTTTTTATTATTTGTTTGTATTTTCCTTGCAGAATTAAGCAACCCAGCTTGAAACTCCATGGGAGCAAAGACAACCTCTGTAAACCCTGTCATGTAACTCAGCCTGCATTGGTGTGTGGTTCTGATGGCCACACGTACACCTCTGTGGTAAGAAATAATTGTTGTGATAATGGCTAATACAGATTCAGCAAAATACTAAAAAAAAGGGGGGGGGGATTTATACTGAGGGGCCCCAGAAGGAGTCGGCTTCACAGATCACAGTTATACGGGTGTAATACTATTGTTGGAGTGCAGAACTGCTTCAGGTTTTAAAGAAACCTGCGTGAGGAGTTGCCATTGCTAACTTGTTTTTGAAGGGGCTATCATGCTTATCTTTCTTTCAATCCTTGGTGTATTACTGACCTGGAACAAGCTAAGGGGTGTCTTTATAAAACATGGCAGAGCTATTTGTTCTGTGAAATTTGACCCAAAAAAATTCTAAAAAATGCTAGAAGCACAAATGTGGGAAAACGCTGCTAAACGCTAATGCAAAAATGCTAAAAAAAGCTGAAAAACTCACATTTGTAACGAGACTTTAAACAACTAACATTAACAATGTTATCAAACAGGGTGCATGAGGGCTTAAAAGAAGTCAGCAGTGGCAGCTCATATAATTCTATCTTTAGTGGTTGCCTTTTAAAGTATATTTAAATCATCAGCTTTTAAAACAACCCATTCCATTTAAAATAGAAATTAAAGGCAAAACATTGTAAAAAATATTATAAATACATCTTGTTTCCTTTGTTTATAAGGGATCACATTCTCAGCTGCATAAGAAGCTTAGGGAGCTGGCAGAGGAGAAACTGCAGAACACTGGTCTTCCCAGTGATTGGCTGTGTTGGGGGGGTGATCTTTGCAGGAGAAAAAGCTGAGTTGAGCACAGCCACAAAAATGACAACACTGTTCTATCTTGCCTAGTGTGGTCATTTTTTAATAGGAATGCAGAGGAACTGGCGGGAACACCAGCTATTTCACACAAAGGAAGCAATACAAATAGAACAGGATACTTTTTCATAGAAGTACATGGTACAGCCAGAACATATCAGGAATATGAAATGTTGGATTAACATATTCTTTAAGGAAACCTTTTATGAAAGAAACATGTAGGCTGTCATTGCTGAGCTCATCATAAAAATACTAGCTGAAGCTTCATTCCAAATCTGCGGATTCAGTTTTTTTCTTTTTGAGATACTAACAAGAAACGCATTGACACAAGTATAGCAGAAATTTCTGTTTAAGTGACTCAGAAAATATTAATACTTTAGAGTCATCATGACAGTCAAACAACCAACAGTGGCATAATTAGAACCTTCAGGGCCCCAGTGCAAGAAACTATAAAGGGCCCCCCTGATCTTCGGTGGGGGCCCTTCCCTCCGAGCCTGGTGGCGAAGCACCAGGGCCCGGTCACAAGTGCAACCTTTGTGACCCTGGTTGTTCTACCACTGGTGTCAGAAGTTTTTTTTATTTTTTTTGGAGAGGGGGGTTAACCATTTTTTTGCAATTTTTTTAAAAATTATTTTTATAAGCCCCATTGGGGGGCTTTGATGGAATATCAGGGGTCTAAACAGACCTCTGATGTTTCACCTTTGAGACAGAGAAAGGAGATTGAGGACACAGCCCTCAATCTCCATCTCTGTAGCCTCAGCTGCACTGAATGAATGGAGAAGAGAGCATAGGGGGAGAGGGACGAAGAGCACAGGGGTGGAGTGCATGGGGGTAGAGAGCAGGAGAAAGCCTGAGAGCACAGGGGGGAGAGCATGGGGGATGGAGAGCAGGGGAAGCTGGAGAGCATGGGGGCCGTAGAAAACAGGTGGAGGCGGGCGGAGAGCACAGGGGGTGGAGAGCATGGGGGAAGCCAGATTGCATGGGGACTGAAGAGCTCAGAGGGAGGGGGGGCAGAGAGCTTGGGGGCTGGAGATCATGGGTAACAGCAGAAAAATGCTGGATAGGAGCAATGGAAGGGCCAGCTGCATACAGAGGAACTATTCTCTCCATGTCCCTCCTGCAGCCGCTGAATGCCAGCTTCTTCTCCTCTCCCTTCCACCGGCATTCAGCAAAAGGAACATGCAGAGATCGATTTGTCTATATGCCACCCCCACCACTCCTCCTATCCAGGCATACAGAGGTGCCGCACGGACCCCGTGCAGTATGGGGCCTGGTCGCAATTGCAACCCTTGTTGGTGCGCCTTTGTTCAGAGTGAAGTCAGCAATGTCAGCCAACATGTTTCTCTACTTACAAGTTTTCTTTAATTTCTCACCTAAGCAGATCACAAATGCTGAGATCAGAACAGACTGCGGCCATTGGACACAATTGCGCTTGATAAAATTCATCAGAAATACTTTGTAAACTTGCACAGCACATACCTGCTGTTCAAAGTATCAGTAGTTGCCAAGTGGACACAGGTTAGAATTGTTTAGGCATGCAACTGTATGAAGGGGAAGAGCCATAAACAGAATGAAGTTCTAGGTATTGTAGTTAGAAGAGCAGCTCATTACAATACTGTACCTTCTGTGTAGTAGTCTGGGCTGATATAGTTCAGAAGAACATAAGTGAGAAAGGATGGATCACTGCTTTCCTGCAAAGTTCGTACATAGTACGCAAAGGTTTTCTTTGAGAAACCATTTATCTGTCGCCATATCACCACACTCCTTCCTACTTTCCTAAGTGCGTATTTGATTATTGCAGTCATTTATACTAAAAGGGAACATTTTCATCCCCAGTGTTTCACAGAACACAAGAAAACATCACATCTGTCAACCCAACTGCTAAATAGCATCTTACAATGAGTTTACTGCCAAAGTCATGCTGGCATTTCTACAATCCTCCCTCTACGTCTACTCTTAGCAGTGTGTTAGATAACATCTGCGATAGAAAGTGCTACTATTCTGTAGGTCTGAGCAGCTCGGGAACAGCAAAAAGTGTTTCCAATTGCAGGTTGTGAAACAACAGAGGGTGTCATGCATTAGCTTACGTGAGAGTTACTGCAATCACGTACACGTAGCTGGTGCCAGGAATTAGCATAGCAACTCTCAGATCTTCCTTCTCTCATTTATTAGTGTAAACTGGAGCAGCAGGCATGCCTGAGCAGCAAACAGCTGACTGTGAAGTGCCAAGGTTCTTGTCCATGTCCAACAGAGAACTCTCCAACCACGACCACCACCACCACTACAGACACCAACAAACAGGGTAAGCTTGCAAACTGTTGAATGTATTTAAAGTCCAACTCCAAGAATTACAAAAAAAAACTACCCTTGGAGTGGAGCCTCTGCAAACTGCATGGATTAAATGCTCTAGGGCAGGGGTGTCAAACTGGCGGCCCTCCAGCTGTTGCAAAACTACAAGTCCCATCATGCCTCTGCCTTTGGGATTCATGCCTGTAACTGTCAATCTTGCAATGCCTCGTACGGCTTGTAGTTTGGCAACAGTTGGAGGGCCACCAGTTTGACACCCGATGCTCTAGGGGATGAGGAAGTGCAATACTTACTTTACCCCTCACTCCTGCAGGCTCTGGTGCTTTCCTCCACTTTGGTCCCCTGCTCTCCTCACATAAAATGCAGGGTCACTGGCCTTGCATTGTAATTGATTACTTCATTGTATGATTGCTGCCCAGAACATCTTATAGAGGAGGCTTCAGGGGATCAGTCACATACAGTGGGGATCGAAAGTTTGGGCACCCCAGCTAAACATTTGTATTAATGTGCATAAAGGAGCCAAGGAAAGATGGAAAAATCTCCAAAAGGCATCAAAAATTACAGATTAGACATTCTTATAATATGTCAACAAAAGTTAGATTTTATTTCCACCATCTACACTTTCAAAATAATAGAAAACAAAAAAATCGCGTCTGCAAAAGTTTGGGCACCCTAAACTTTCGATCCCCACTGTAGATAGAGGGACTCTGCTAGAGCAAGAGGAAGGGAACATTTTACTCCCTATTGCTTAGCCATTAGAGTTAACAAGCATTTAATTCTTGCAATGCAGGGGCCCTACTGCAAGATTAATGTTTGTGGAATTGCTGCAGTTGGGATAGCATCCTCCCTAGCACCGCAGGAGACGGAAGTGCTTTAGCATGCAAAACATTGCAATAGCACTGTTGTAAAAGGAGACGTTAATGGTTTTGGGTCAGTTTAATTTTATTTCTTAGATTTATACATTTTTAAATGATGTATTTTTATTGATATAAAATCTTTCTTTTGCAAGTAAATATTTAATACTGAAAGCACCGATGACACAGGAGTCAGAGCACACTGTGGGTTTTGTAAAGAGGGAGTCGAGCAGAAACTGAATTTAGACTCCTCCTGTCTAATTGAAATCTCAGAAGGAGCACCCTGTACACAGCTAGGAGAGGGATGGTGGGGGGGGGATCAGGTCAGTTCTCTGGTTCATTTAGTTGTGTATGTACATTTTAGCATGAGCTATTTAATAATCTCTGTAAACAGGCTTTTTTGAGCAAAAGAGATAAGGATACCATTTTAGTCTCATCTGACCATAACACTTTTTCCATGTGGCCTCAGAATCTTCAGGGTGTATTTTGGCAAAGCTCAGTCCTGACTGCATGTAGACTTTTTTGAGGAGTTTCTTTTTTCTTTCAACCTTCCCATACAAGCCATATTTGTGGAGAATTTATGATGTAGTTGTCATATGCTCACATGCCCTCACTGGCATGGTTTCCAGCAACCATATTGAAAATGTGCATAACTGGGAAAGGGAAGACATAGGGAGAGCTGCCAGTGAATTACATAGGGATAGATTAGTGTTGTTCTTATGTGCTGACTTGTGTCCTGTAGTGTCCTTACAGCCTCTTCACGTGCTTTGTCTACAGTCATACCAGTTTGCATGTGTTTTTTAAAAGGGTATATTTTCGCTGCCTGTAATTTTTTCACAGCCTGTCCCTGTGCCCATATGCATTTGACTGCTAAGTGGCTACATGTACATTTTCACAGGGCATATTTCCTAATTATTGCTGGCTGCAATATTTTTAAAAGCTCATTTTTTAAAAAAAACAATTTAATCCTTCTGGGCAATGCGGAAGAAGAATAATGCAGAAGCTTGTTATTTCCTTTGGGAAAACATGTTACAGAGTTGTTTGCAGGCAGGAGATTGTAGGAGACAGGGGTGGAGTGTTGTCACCCTATAACAAAAAGTGCCAAACAAGTATCTTTATATTACTATGGCCAGCTGTCAAAGCTTTTAAGAGATTTTAGTGGTTGTGTGTAGCAGATCAGCAGTAAAGCATTAGTGATAGTTGTGGTTCTATTAGCATATAGTCTCTCCATCTCTCTACAGCATGCTTTCTTCAACGACTGGAAAGTATTGCCAGAACTCGCCTGGTTTATATAGCACTTACAGGATAAAGCCCTGCCCAATCGGTCAGTCAAGCACACTGTTAAGCTGTGCTCAGGCCAACACCCTCAGTTGACTTTTCAGTCCTTTATTTGTCTTCATGACTGCCATTAAATCATCCCAAATTGGGGATTTTCTGATACCTTTATGTATTTATTTTAGCCACCATAAGAAAATGTGGCAGAGATTCTTTGCACAAAATCCTAAGAGAGGATCATATTGGGCTCTCTCTTGAATGGTGCAGTAGATTGCCCAAATTTCCATTCCATTTGTATGAAGGAGGGTGAAAAGTCCCTTTTGGAGACCTTTGCAAAAAAAAGTCTTCCTCCTTAGTCCTAGCCCCCCAACAATTCTCCTCCTCCTAACCACCATCATAATTTAATTCCTCCATTTGCTTCAGCCTGCTCTTTCCATTGTGTTGCTGAACAATGGGAAATCTGTGGCCACAGAATTTCTCCCCTGCAGCTATGCTCCCAGTGAAGGGATACAGCCAGCATCAGGAATGTGGCAAACAGTTTCTCTGCAGAGGGTAACATTTTAGGCTTTCTCTTGGATAGTGGTAGTAGTTCCCCCAAGATTCTCCTTGGATGGAGGCATTGAAACATCCCCCTTGAAGTCTCTCACCAACTTCCTTGTCCTCCTCACCACCACTCCTCCAACCTTCCTCCTTAGTTTCCTGCTACCTCATAGCATTTGACAGGGTGGTGGATGGAAGGAATGCCGTTCTGTGCTGGAGGGTGGCATATGGACCTCTGGGTAAAATAATGATGGCTGAGTACCTGACCAATATTATGGTGTAGTACAGGCCACAAAAAAGGCAAAAGGCATATATGGGATGTTTGGCAAAGCTGGGGTGAAGACGTTGGGCATTGGAGTGTTTTGGGGATTTTTTTTTCTTTTGCAGCTGCACTGCAGCAGTCTGTGGGCTGACCCTGAGGATAACACCAAAACAAATCCAACGACTTCTCAAAGCCAGTGGATGGAGATATTCCAGGATTAGCAGAGGAGGAGAAAAAATGGAGCAGAGCAACACTAGAAAGATAAATGGCTTATGGCTGTTCTGTACCTAGAAAGATAAATGGCTTATGGCTGTTCTTCTGAGGAGGAAGAGGAAAGGGCACATGAGCAGCCAGGGGCGTATTTACCACAAGGCAAACAAGGCAATTTCCTAGGGTGACATTTTTCAGCGGGGCAGCACTGGCCCCTGGAAGAAGGGACACTTGCGGCATGGGGACCAGGGGGGAGCCGAGAGAGGCTGCGGACTGCTTGATGGTGTATTCAAAGCCCGACTCTCATTCCCAGGGATGTCCAGAGCTGTAAAGGTGAGTGGCTTCCTTTCCAGATGGGGGGGGGCAGGGGTGTTGTTGGTCAATGTCAGGTGCGGGGGGGGGGGGGGGGTTGGGTCCAATTTTTGTGTTGCCAAGGGCAGCACAAAACCTAAATACACCACTGTGAGCAGCACAGTAAAAAAAAAAACAATTGTCTGACCTGTTCTCTTGAGGAAGAGGAATAAAATGGCACATTAACAGCCCTAAAAAGGGGTCCACTTTGCCCCTTGAGGCGGAGGAAGAAAAGGGCACATACGCAGGTCCAAACTAAATGGCTGCTATGCAACCTTGAGGAGGAGAAGAAAAAGGGACAGGAACTTTTTATTAGATTATATTTGAGGGGTTGCAGCACAAAGAACTTGGCCAAATAAAAATAAGTAGGAGGATGAAGAAAAAGGGTGCAATAGCCAGCCAAAATAACTAGTATACGCCATTGAGGAGGAGAAAGAGGAAAAGGTTGCATTAGCAGCACTCTAATAGAAAAGGTGTCCCTGGGGAGGAGTATTGTGTGCTCTTTGATGATGATTTGTCTCAGTGAGGTGCCCTCCCACTTTTACCATAGCTGTAATGCTGAAGATAGATGTTGTAGGCCACAAAGATGCTGTTGGCAACAGATACGTTAATTTAGGCCCAAACTGCAGATCTCTTTCTATTTGTCTCCTGTTCCAGTGTTTGTGGACTGTGCCTTGACTTTAGAAAGTTTCTACCAAACACAAACCTGAAGTTTATTTTTTAAACATTGTGGGAATAATTGGGGATATGGGATGGGGTTTGGGGAATATGGAGTTGTGGTTTTGAAGTGTTTTTGTGACCTCTGTTAGAACATTTTATACCTTATGCAGTGTACTACTGCAACAAAAAATTCACAACCTATACTACAAGAGTTCTTCAAAAAGTTTCTGCACTTTTTTTTAACTCTGTTTATTAAGAATAGTGTTTACAAACTGTTTATTGAGCAAGAAACAAATATAGAGTTACATATGACATGAATATAATCAAAGTTACAGAGAAATTCAAATGAATGGACCAAGAGAATGGAGAAAAACATCTAACAAGAAGCACATAATAAGTTGGCTAGACAAGATGGAATAATTAGAGTACAAATAAATATATGTTTAGTCCAACAATACTGTATATGACGATAAAGTTTCCAGTCATCCCATTTACGGTTAAACAGATGCATTTTATCTTGCAAGGTATAATGTATACGTTCCATAAGCATAACCATATCAATTCTCCACAATACAGAGGACAAGGAGACTACTGCAGACTTCCCATATAGAGCTATTGCCCAAATAGTGGATACATATATAGTGTGAATCAATCTTGTTCTACCAGCTGAGACACCTGGTATGGGAGAGCCTAGCAGACTTGTCTGCATAGATAGATCAACATATGATCCCACCAATGCTGAGGCAATCTCTGAAATTTTTCTCCATACAATGGAAAGATGGGTGCACTCCCAAAATATATCTTTGATGGTGCCAATGAAATTGCAACCACGTAAAAATGGACCTGAGACTCCAGGAAAGATAGCATGAAGTCTGGAAGAGGTATAGTACCATCTGGTTAGTACTTTGAAGGCTGTTACCCATACTCCGAGAGATTTAGTGCTCTTGCATATATTATCCAGCATGGTGTCCCACTCCTCTGCAGAAAAATCTATATTACAGTCTGTTTCCCATATAGTTCTGTAAAGGGGTGAGGCAGCATAATAGGTCTCTAAGAAAGAGCGGCATAGGTCTGATATAAGGCCTTGCCTCTGGGTGAGTCATGGCAGATACGCTAAAAAAATGTAATAGGAGCGGATGGGGAAAGGTCATGTTGTGAGGCAAAAAAGTGGTTTATTTGTAGGTAATGATAGAACTCTGGATTTGGAGTGTTATATTGGGCCTGCAATTGGATAAAGGAGATAAATGCACCCCCCTGTTTGAAAATCTGCTATTTTAATAAGGGATTTATCATACCACCATTAATAATCGATCGGTAAAGAAAAAGCAGGGGCAAAATTTGGGTTACCGAAGTAGGAGGACCCCAAAGGCGGGGATAGGGGATACCAAACCCAGTTTAGTTTTATAATATGACCAAAGGGTCAAGGAGTATGAAACTATAGTGTTATAAGGAGAAACCAAACGTGGGGCTTCAAAGCGAACCCAAGGGACTTTAGAATTAACTGTAGTCCATTGGGCTATCTGGGAGAGATGAGCGGACAAAAAGTAGAGCTAGAAAGTAGAGCTAGAAACTTTAGGAGTGAGTTGGATCTTGTCATATGACCACTGAAATGGGAAGGATCTACGAAGGGATTCACTTAGGGTCTTTGGGATATTAATCGGTAAGGCAATAGATTTAGATAAGTTTACTGCGAGACCCGACAGGGATTCAAAATTGGTAAGTGACTGAAAAAGATTTGGTACTGAAATCAGTGGGTTAGTTACAAAAGCATAACATTATCAGCATACATCCATAATTTGAATTGTAAGGCAATGAGCGAATAAGCAGATATATCTGAGTGTAGTCTAATGGCTGTGGCCAAGGGCTCTAAAATTAAGGCAAATAATAAGGGCGAGAGTAGGCAACCCTGTCGAGTGCCCCTGTCCAAAGTGAAAAAATCTGAGTTACAACAACTCAAAGTCTTACTTTTGTTTGAGAAGAATTATATAATGTATACCGGACACAAATTCCTCTTTAGAGCTCATGTGTTGCAAAAGCGAAAAGAGGTAAGGCCAAAGAACTCTGTCAAAGGCCTTGTTAATATCAAAGCTCAGTAGCAATACTTCTTTGGAATGTAAATTAGAATCCTGCACAATTATCATGGTAAGTCTTATATTGTCAGTGATAAGCCTATTGGAAATGAATCCTGATTGGTCAGGAGAAACCAAAGAAGAAATTATGGAGGCCAATCTATCAGCCTATGGCTAAATACCTTTAAATCTTTATTTGTGGCTCAGATAGGTCTATAGTTTTATGGTAATAAATGATCTTTCAGTGGTGTTGGCAAAAGAGACATGTTGGCTAAAATAATTTGTGTCTGGGAATTTATTGCCCTGTAGGACCTAGTTGAACATCTCTACCATATATGGGGAAAGGAGAGGTGCATAGTGCTTATGTTAGCTGGCTGAGAAACCATCAGGGCCCAGGGCTGTAGACTGCTTTAGAGAGTTAATGACTCGAAGGACCTCATCTTGAGTGCAAGGAGCATTGAGGGCGGAAATCTGTGAAGGAGATAGTAAGGGGAGAGGTATTGAGCCAAAAAATGACTGGGAGACAGGTGGAGGGACAGAAGAGGAAGGGGCAAGTAACGTTGAGTAGAATTTTTTAAACATATCTACAACCTCATGTGGTAATGAGGTAATATTGCCTCTCTCGTTGCATAATTTATATACACGAGGGGGATGCAAGGTGTGATTAAGTTTACAGGCAAACATGGCCGAAGCTGAATTGCTGTGTAGAAGAAAATTAGCCTTTGACCAACAAAGTGCTCTTTCAGTCCTATGGGACAGTAATGTATTCAACTCAAATCTTTACATGTTTATTAAGAATTTCAAAAACAACGTGACAACTCTTATACTAAACTGCAAGGTCAGCCGGCTTGCCAGACAAACTAGTCACAGGGAACCCTCAGACATAACCAATTACTACTGCTCCCACCCTCACTGTTCCCAATGCAAAAATAGAAGTGCAGAAACGTTTTGAAGACCCGTTGTATGAAACTGATGTGCTACTGGTCAATTTATACATTCTTTGTAAAAGTAAATTTTCTTATAGCTTTTTGTTGCTGCTACTTTCACTGTTTCATTTAGGTCTATTAGCCCTGGATAAATAAAAGTGTTTTATCCAAAATTACCTTAAAAAAACAACCTTGATTTGTCAAATTGTAATGAATCTGATTAGGGTGCTGCTGTTAATATAACAACAAGCAATAATGTAAAAGCAAAATAACATCTACTACTTAGAGTACGTCACAGCAGAATACAGAGTAACTGACACTGCCTGTGGAATTGTACTGTTCTGTAACACCACATACTGTATAGCTTAAAAGCATCTCTTGAACATGTAATTATAAGAATCGGTGTTGGTGTTTTTCCAGTGCCATCCTCAAAGTTGCATAAAAAAAGGGAACCCACTCCTCACGGTATTGTATTTTTAACTATTTTTTTTTACATTGGTACCTTTTCTATAGACCAATGCCCAGCTCCCCAGGCCCTTTGACAATCTGATTGCTATTAGCCTTGAAAATGCTCAGAAGTGATTTCCAGGATTTGTCCCCTATAGACTTCAATGGGGTTTGCAATTGCAGATTTTATGAAGGTTTCAATAAACATCCTGCAAATGAACCCCAGTCAAAGCAGCCATTAATTAGAGTTTTCAGGTTTCTGTATGTTTTCTGTAAAATGTGTAAAAACCCCTGGGTATGCTGCATAATTATTGCAAGAACATTATAGAAGAGGAAGTCGTATACCCTATACAAGGGTCTACAAAAAAAATCATTAACAAGTACAATTTTGAGTAATTAATAACTGTAGTGAAATACATATTAATAGAATATTGTGTTTGAAAAGTCATTGGTGAACTACTATCTTCTCTGATAAGTAATTATCTTAGCTGAATAACACAGTTCATTGTGCACAATACCATACCAGCCAACAGGAATCAATGATAAATGACCATACTAAACTGCAGAAAGTTGTATGTATTGATTGCCATGGGTGACTGAACAGTTTGCTCTTCACTGCTACTTAATAGGACCTTTGTGGATTCATTTTTAAAGGGAGCCCGTCACTGCTGTTCTTTTTTTTTTTTTTATTATTTTATTTTATTCACCATACTATTAAAGTAAATGTGATCCAGGTTTCTTTAAATCTTCTGCTTGGAAAGGGGGAGAGAAACCTTACACATTTGGACTTATTCATTACAGATGTTAAGAATCTTTGCCCAATAACTTTTGTAAATATTCACTACAATTATCCAATCATATAAAAAGCAAATACCACTTTGCTTATTTCATCTGCACATGATGTTGGTATTCAAAAGGAACAGGGATTTGCTTTTCAGCAGATGCCTGCCACTGTCATTTGCACCGCTGCTGGTTGCCAGTGCAAATGTAGCCAAAAAAAAGATACCCAGAAATATCATAGCTTTGTCTGATCACAACGGCCTGCCATTGTGAAAGCTACTGTATATATATGTGTATATATATATATATATATATATATATGTATGTTAACATATTTATACCTGTCCACGGCATTTAGTATTTTTAAAGTGAAGAGTCTCTTTAAAACTCAAACAAATTTAGTTCCCAGTGGCCATACTGAAAACTGCAGTTTTATTTGGCTGAATTTCTTTTTGGATGGGTAGAACACTCAGAGGCTTGTAAAGCAGACATTTAGGTTATAGAAAGCTGAAATCTTATGTGGACCATTAGCTTTTTAACAAACAAAATTCAGAGGCAAGTAAGTGGCTACATTTATTTATTACTCAGTTCTGTGACGTCCATTTAATTCTCCATTAAGTAAAACTTGGATCCTCTATTAATAATGCTAATACATTTTTCAGTTTCTGCAAGAAAGTAAAAAACCTGTGTGCAGGCAGTAGCCCCCCAGCTCCCTATTATCTGAGCCCCATCTTGATCCAGTGATGTGCATGGGAGCCTCAGCTCTCTCAGAAATCTCCCTCCTCATTGGCTGAGACATTGCTCCCACTGCTATCAATCACAGGCAGTGAGCCAATAAGGAGAGAGAGGGAGTGGGTCAGACCGTGGCTCTGTGTGTGAATGAACACGCAGAGCAGCTGCTCAGGGGTAAGTCTGCTTGGGTGCCCCCATAGCAAGCTGCTTGCTCTGGGGGCAGTCTGCAGGAGGGAAGGGCCAGGAACGCCGGGGGGCCCAAAAGATGACAATCAAGGCTGCTATATGCTAACCACTGCACGAAGCAGGTAAGTATGACATGTTTGTTATTTTAAGTGCTTGGATCCTAAATGCAGAAAAAAGACTGTCTAGTTAGGACAAAGTATAGTAGAACATAAGCAATGTAAATGGTTGGATTGCTAAAATAGAATAATAGCTCTTGGTTCCCTTTTAATTATTGATATTGTTTTTATTATAGGAGAGACATGTACTGGGCAGGACCTGGCGGACCTTGGAGACCGTTTACGGGATTGGTTTCAGCTGCTTCATGAGAACTCCAAGCAGAACAGTACAGCAGCTGCAGGAGTGAAACAAGTGAATGGTAATGCACTCACCCTGTACAGCTCATACCATTTTAATTACTGCAGAAAATATTTGAAATTAGACTCTTTCAAAATGGTCCATAAGTATATATATATATATATATATATATATATATAGTTAAAGATGTTTTATATAGTTATAGCTGCATTCTAGAAAAATAAAAAAGACAATGCAGTTTTTCATCCCTTCAAAAACAATTAAATTAGTATTATACACAAAATATGAGTATGTCATATCAGCACATGTTACCCCTACTAGTGATAGAAGAGGGGCAGCACCAGAAGCTAATCAGGCGGTCACACTGCACATTTGTTGGCAGGGAACACAGACAGTAGATTTGATGACATGTAATTGTGTTTCTCCTTCTCTTTTACTCAGTGAGGTAGCAGGCAGGGAAGTGACACCATCATGTTCCTTATCTCTGAGAGAGAAATTGGTGTCACTCTCCTAGTATAGGGGTGCTAATCACAAACATGGCTGGACACAATTACAAATCCTTTGACAGATAAGACAGTTTACAAATGTGGTTTTCTTGCGATTTGCCTGGAATTCAGGTCCATTTTTTCTGAAAATCAGGAAATGTATGTAAAACATTTACTAAAAATAAATCTGAAATAAAAGTTGCAAAAAATCTATATACTGATTTCAGAATGCTGGAAATGCATTTGGCCAGCAATACAGGTTTTTCCAATTAAAAAAAATTTAATTGTTCTCAGTAGATACTGTATCTGTGAACCTTATCATGACAAATAGTGGGGAAAGGGTTTATTTACTGAAGCTGGTTCACTTAGAATCTGGTTCAGCTGTGCATGGTAGCCAATCAGCTTCTAACCTCAGCTTATTCAGTTAAGCTTTAGCAATAAAACCTGTAAATGTATTGGCAATTTACAGAATGCTAATTGAGTAAATCATGATTCTTTCGACCCTGCGCAGCCAATTTCTGCAAACTGTAGAATACGAAATACTATGATTCAGGCATACTGATTGGGAGGATCCCAAGAATTGTTTGATGTTCTATGGATTCTGCACATATGCAAATGCCATGGCAGTAGTACTAAGAGATATACAAATAATATTACAGTGCCAAAGCTGATACCAATGAATGCTTTGTGCTTCCACCATAGAATAGCAAAGTTATTTTAACTGAGTAGCATAAAGTTCTATTAGAGTCACCCAATGCATGGCAATTACACTCACAAATGCATTCTATGTAATGCCAGCCAAGTGATTATACCAGTTTCTTGGATGAATGTGATATATAGTTTTTATGTCTTCATAGAGACAGTGATACAGTGTTCCAGTCTCCATTAATGAACATGGAGCAGGCACGTGTATTAGCAATCCAAAGATTCAGATGAAGCATCTGGTCATGAATCTAGGAGCAGTTTGAAAGAAACTTGGGCCAATAATTTATTGGAGCACTTCACATTCCAAAGAGCTTGATCGGTACTTTGGAGAAATGATTCATTGCTTAATTAGCATCTCGTTAGTAAAGCAAAACATTTTAGAAGTTAATTATCAGAATCTCTTGGCATGACATAGGGACAATAGTACCACCGAGTGATATTGATAAACAGTTTGACATGGGGCTGACCAGAAATTAGGCACACGTCTGCTCCATCAAAATGTGGCATTCCACAGATGTTGTGAGACTCAGCAAGTGTCGGCGTAACTGCTAAGCCCAGGAAATATGATAATCTTGTGAAGATTGGGGCCATTAAGTAAACAGGACAATGAGTACTCTGTCATTTTATTTTATGTAATACGTATACTCATTTGACCCCTCTTACCTTAAGCACAAGGTAATGTACTCTGCTGGAAATAAAATAGCCCTCTTTTGAATCAGATCTTAGTATAAGTGGATTTTAGCCTGAAGTGATTAATCAGAATGAATGCTCATTAGGCACAAGTAGCTAAACCTAGAATAAATTTTGATTCCCTGCAACTGTATTGGATTGTGCACAGTACATGTTGAACTGTTTTGTTTTATTCATAATTAACCAGTTAAATAACTCCTTAGGCTGTTTTTGGTCTGATCCTTGTTTGTCAAAGCTTTTATTATGGCACGGTCTAATTTCCAGAACATTCTCCTGAGAAATATAAATTAAACAATGGATTGAACAAATACAAATTTTATAGTTTGGTTTAAAGAGAACCTGTAAAAAAAACCTTAGTTGTCTGACTGTCAGGCTGACACTAGAGTTGCTGATCTTGAATAAGTGTAGACATCTACTGCATGTGTGTACTGGCTTTGAAGTGTGGAAGCCAGATACATCCTAGCATTTTCAGAAGGACGTCAGCGAAGGTAAACCCATATTTCTTTAATGGAAGGTGTATGTTAAAGAGGATACCTGTAAAACTAGTTTACACACCTAAAAAAGCACAACTGATAATATCTTCTCTTTGAAACAGATTCCACCACAACTCCGGCTAGCTCAATTAATCTATAAACAGAATAAACATATAAATGGACTTGTCACCAAAATAATGGTCCACTCAAGAGGTCTACTTCCTTATACTGTAGATAGTGTAGTGCAGTGCAGCTGGTGGGAAATGAATAGCCAAGAACCACTTCCAAGTTGCTAGCAAAGGAGATGACATCAGACAAGAAGAAAATAAAAGCTGCAACCTTTATCAAAGCTTAGAGTGACTTGTATAAAACACATGCATGTGCTTCCAAGTAGGGAAAAGTATATACATAAAAATAAATTATGTACAAAATCTCTTTTTTTAAAGGCTTACAATTTATTTTATAATAAAAGAGATGATAGGTCCACATGTTGTTTAGGAAATGCTAGTAACTACGGATGTTATTTATACAGTGTTAGACAAGACCTTAGTGGCCAGCTGCAAAGACTCAATAGGCTGGATGTTCTCCAAGTTGGACTCCAACAATGACCTCTTTTTGGACCAAGCTGAGCTGGCAGCCATCAACCTTGACAAGTATGAGATCTGCATCCGGCCCTTCTTCAACTCCTGTGACACTTACAAAGATGGGCGAGTGTCCACTGCTGAGTGGTGCTTCTGTTTCTGGAGAGAAAGTAAGTAGATGGATTATTATATTACTGGAATTCTTAAGTATACCAATGCTTAAAAGAGCTATTAAAATTATGGTATATATTTGAAAAGTATGCACATATATATAAATGCAACTGAAGCAGTTAAAATTATAATGAGCAGTTAAGGCTCATTTACATCAGTGGATGACTCTACAGTCACTCTGAAAAATTATCTATGGCAGACCACTTTTCCAGAAGTGGTTTAGAGCCAATTTACAGGCATACGGGAAGCTATACCGTCACCTCTCGAGTGGCAGTTTTTTTCCTTTCAATCTCAGTGGTGATTTAAATTGAAGTACTACTTCATCACCACTGCCATAGCCGTGTTTGGCACGTGGCCCCATTGACTTTAGTGGGCAACTTTGACAGGAAGTCTGACATGCTGAGTTAAAAAAATTTTTTGTTGAAAAATATACTTTATTTTTTACATAAGTATAAAAAACCAAGATACTTTAGTTGGGGTACATTCCACCTTGTACTGCGACGCAGTGCATAAATACACCACATACAGTTCCAATCATACAATACATTCATTCAGTAGTATGATGCCTAACATGGTGTGTGGGGCAAAAAAGTTCCCCAAACCATCACATCATGCATGACGCCGCTTACCCCGAGACTGTTTGTGGCCCCCTAAGGTTCTACCAGAGTAACCTGGCAAATGTGTAGTGCCTGGGTTAAACCCCTGTCCCACACATCCTACATGGCACCGCAACATAACAATACCGTGCAAAACATTATTAAAAAAACAATTCAAATAAGAATTGGGTGTTTTGGGGGGTAGGAAGGAGGGCAGAGGGAGGGAAAACAGAGTTCACAGGCCCGAAGCTTTATTGAAAGGACAAAGACACGCAAGAGAGAGCAGGGGGGAGGAGAGACCCTCAGACGTCCTCTTACTCCTTAAAGTCCATCAAGTTATAGTCTCTGAGCAGACTGTGAACCAGTGTGCGACAGTCCTCAATAAAATCCTTCCTGGCGCACCATAAAGTGTCCTTGAAACAACACAGCACCTGCCAGGCGCCGTCAATGTCCTCCAGGGTAAGAGTCCCACAGAAAAGTCAGTTCAACACACCAAAGTGTATGATGGCTGCCTGTGGCACAAAGTGCTTGAGTTCTGGTACCAAGGCCCTCAACAGGTCCTGAGCAAAAGAGCACTCCCAGAAAACGTGCTGAGCAGTTTCCTCCTGGATGATGCAAAAAGGGCAGTGCCTGTATTTGCTCAGGTACCTGGCATGCATAAATTCCTTGAGTGGCAACCCCCCTTGGATCGCCATCCATGCCAGGTCCTTGTGCCTGTTGGTGAGTCTCTCTTTGAAGAAACATTCCTCCAGACCACCTTGCAAGTGGCTGAAGGCAGGCCTGGAACTGACTCCAAAATGTCCTTTGCTCTGATCAGCTTGTAGATAGTCTTTGGTTTCCACAAGTCGGGCTTGACTCCATGTAGCCCCTGCTCCTTGATAGACTTAAAAGTGTCCAAGTAATACCAAGGAGTGTCCCAGTTGTAGGGGATGGAAATGTTCCATTTGTCCCATCCAAGGGACCTCCAGAGGGGCAAAAGGAAAAAATGTGACATGGAGTTTCCACCAGAGTCCATGCTCCGGTTCAGCAAAGTCTTGCGGATGCAGTTGCAGGCAAAGGACACCCTCAGTTGAGTGGCAATGTCAGGCATGCCCTTAACGCCCTTGAGGAGCTTCTTGAGCATGACTGCCTGCTTCACTCAGGCCTGGGTGAGGTACTGCAACACAGGGAGAATCTCGCTACGGAGTACCAGTGTCTTCCCTTCGATGATAAGTTCTCTGAGGCTCTGAAGTCCAAACTTTTGCTTCATCTTCGATACTCTATCCTCCCAAGACTTCAGGGCTGCACCCTCAGCACCAAACCAGACTCCCAAAATTTTGATGAAGTCTGTCTTGACACTGAAAGGGATGGATGCAGAAGAAGGCAGGAATCACTTTCCGAAGAGCATGACTCCTGACTTCAGACAGTTGACTTTTGCCCCTGAAGCTTGGCCAAAGTCTTCGCAGGTCTGGACGAGCAGGTCGATGGAGCACCGATCAGCACAGAACACCTTTACGTTGTCCATATAGAGTGAGCACTTCACTTCCCTTCTGTCTGGTCCTGGTGTGGTGATTCCTCTGATCTTGTAGGCCTCCCTGAGTTCCTCCAGCAGTTCCTAATTTTCCAGCAGGGTACAATTCAGCTTCCAGGCGCCTTGGCTGGGGTGAATCTCTCGCCCAGGTCACTTCGAAGGTGAAAGGTCCTGTGGTCAGAGAAAAAGCAGGGGGCCATGGAGAACCCCCCATGCCTGACTGCCCGGGAGGTGAGTACAACGTCAATCCTGGAATGCACAGACCCATCAGGGCAGCTCCACGAATAGTTCACGGAGCTGTGCCCCAAAGATCCCACAGCATCCTGCAAGGAAACCTCCATAATCATCTCCCTGAGCTGCCTGGGGGTGGAATCGAGTTTAGCGTACATGCTGGAGCCAATCACCGCCAATCACTACAGTTCTGGTTCTGACGAGTTGGGCCCGCAGGGTGTGGAAAAGCTCCAGCCGCGCACACTCTTCATTGGGGAGGTGTACACGCTGATGAGTCTGACTGACTCTCCCTCCCACAAGCCGGCTATGATCAAGAGACGGCCACAGACGAGCTCGTGGACAGAGTCTACCATGAGATGACGTCCCCTGACAAGAATGGCTACTCTTGCAGACTTACAATTGCCACCCCCAGACCAGTAGGAGGGACCTTGGGTCCACTGGGAGGACAAATGAGTGTACCTCCTAAAGGAGGGCAGAGCGCATTCCTGGAGCATGTAGATGTCATTTTGCTGGGAAAAAAGGTCAGCACAGCCTGCCTCTAGACACATGCTTGATGCTCCTCACATTATTGGAAAAGATAGAGATCTCGGCCATCATGAAAAGGAGATAAAGGGACTAGTTAGCATGGGCTGTACTTACCTCCCCTGGAGAAGGGGAGGCTCCTCCTCTGTCTCCGTTGCTTGATTCTGAGTAAAAATTGCTGCACCCTAAGGCATCGTGGCTATGGCAATGGCAATGTAAACAGACATGACATCCTGAGCAGCTGCCATGTCTACTTATAGGGAGACTATCAGGATACTAAAAATGTACATTATATCAACCGTTTGTTTTTACTAACAACTCCTCACCAGCTGCTCGTGTGAACTTAGCCTTACTTTTAACTTATAATGTGCAATTCAGGCAAATTAGTGATTTGCACATAATTCTCTTTCTCAGTTGTTCTCAATTAATAGAAATAATGTGATCGTGTCATGTCTTGTTGTTGGATTCATGCCTGAACAATAGCATAGTCGCATAGTGGTTCTGATAGTCGCATAGTGGTTCTGAAAATGGATTCTTTATACTGACAATGCCTTTGTTTTTAGAGCCTCCATGTCTTGTGGAACTTGAGAAAGTGCAGATCCAAGAGGCTGCTAAGAAAAAACCTGGTGAGTCTACAACGTTCCTAAACATACTTGCCATTTAGCTTTACTATTCTGTAGTATTCTTAGGACCAATGACAGGACAAGGCCCTCTGGCACCCAAGGCGAAGATGCCAAAGCCAATCGCTTGAGCTAAACCAAGAGACCATTTGGTCCATGGAAAACAGCACAAAATAGAAAGGGGAAGAGGGGGCTAGGCATTTTTCTGTGTAGTTAGGTCAGTGTGATTATGAGCATAGTAAAATGATCATAACCTAAAGTTGGTCTTCCAGCTTAGAACTAAAAGTGGCTTATAACTCATGGAAGTGCAGGTTTTTATTCTTTGGCATATTTTCCCTTTTGTAAAGCTATTACAATTATTTTTGTTATACAAAACATTTTAATACAGTGCTACATAATAGAAAAAGTATAAAAAAAAGAAAAACACATTTCATTCCATAGGTGTGCAAATTCGCCATTACAAATAGGCCTACATGAACAAATAAATCTCTATTCTATTAAATAAATTTAACTGTGAGCAGTAACCTGCACATGGAGTCAATGAGATATATATATATACACTCACCGGCTACTTAGGTACACCTTGCTAGCACTGGGTTGGACCCCATTTTGCCTTCAGAACTGCCTTAATTCTTTGTGGCATAGGTTCAACAAGATGTTGGAAACATTCCTCTAAGGTTATGGTCCATATTGACATGAGATACTGTTGTCTTTCTATCTTCTCGAACCAGTCTGCCCCTTCTCCTCTGACCTCTGACATCAACAAATCATTTTTGTCCACACAACCGCCGCTCATTGGATATTTTCTCTTTTTTGGACCATCCTCTGTACACCCTAGAGATGGTTGTGTGTGAAAATCCTGGTAGATTTTTAAATACTCAGACCAGCTCGTCTGCCACCAACAACAATGCCATGTCCAAAGTCACTTAAATCCCCATTCTTCCCCATTCTGATGCTCGGTTTGAACTTCTGCAAGTTGCTTTCACCACATCTACATGCCTACATGCATTGAGTTGCTGCCATGTTATGGACTGAATTGTGTTGCCAAGCAATTGAACAGGTGTACCTAATAAAGTGGCTGATGAGTGTGTGTGTGTATGTATGCATATATGTATATGTATGCATATGTATGTGTATATATATATATTTTATATATATATATATATATATATATATATATATATATATATATACACACATTATCATTTATAAATGTACTGAACCTTGCCAGGATATAAGCATCCTGAAAAGATTTTGTCTATGTGGCTGTCATTCTAATTTTGGCTTTCCTACCCAGTGACCTGTACATTGACCTAAAACAAATAGCCATTATATTTACCCTTGCAATTCCCATACAAATTACAATTGTATAATCACATATCTTGTAGGGGTTTTCATTCCCAGCTGTGATGAAGATGGCTACTACAGGAAGATGCAGTGTGATCAGTCCAGTGGGGAGTGCTGGTGTGTGGACCAGCATGGATCTGAGCTAACTGGAACAAGGATACATGGAAATCCAGATTGTGGTAAGCTCTGCCAACAAGGATACTTAGACATACAGTATACAGTTGAATGCAGTCAGCTATCAGTGCAAGAGTGTAGTAGTTTAAATGGCTCACTGACATATCATCTATAAGCCACAATCAATAAAACCACATTACAGGATTTTACATGTAAGGCTTTTATAGCTTTAAAATGGGTCCGTTTTAATAGACAAAGTGGACAGATTGAAGTACAGCAATATAAATGGCTCTCCAATATGCAGTTCGTCCTTACAAGAATAATATGCTCAACTACAATTATTACAAGGTGGAAGTATCAGCACACTTTTCTATTGTTCAGTACACCTATTTCAGGAAAAATATATAGACTGCCTCTTGTTCTGAAAATGCTAGTTTCTTACTTATCATGATGATGCTTTACCTTAAAACCTATCAAAACCCAAGAATAACAGTGTAATACAGAGCAATTTACAGTCCTTAGATGTGGTGGCTTCATTCGTTTTTGGCTTTTTCCCTTTATTTTCACCTGGTGCTTCTGCCAGTAACAAACTTTCTGTCTGAGGAAAACTGTGGTGAACTGATCTGTACTAAAGCTGACAAGTTATCTGGTGGGATTAACATGTATTTTTTTGCACCTATTAAACAGATATAGAATATAACAAAAGTTCATTGTTATGGTTTACATACACTTTAAATACTTTCAAAATCATTGACCAAGAACGTATTGTAACATACCTCCCAACTTTAGAACATGAGAATGTAGAACACCTTGGGGAGGTGGGGGTGTGGATGACATTGTTACATTTTTTTTTACCAATTCCTTTTAGTGTTCTCTACAATTTTGTCTCTTGACATGTTTCCTATGCTCCTCTGTTCCATCTAGTGGCCATCATGCAGTATTGTATTAGTGTCCATAGTTAAAGAACATTCCTTCAGAAGAAAAAATAACCTAAAGAACATTTGTTTTTGCCCAGTTTGCACAGAATGAAAGTACATGAAATGTGCTGGACAAATAGCTTTGCAAAATTTTATAATGAAACCCCCAAGTGAACAATCTCTATTCCTTTAGAAAATCTATCTCATTGCCTGTGTGTATGACATTATTGGCAGCATTATTATCACTTTGTTTATTGCACCCTATGGAAAATGGAGATTCTGGGAAATAACTCCCACACCACCCAAGCAACACTTAGATTTTATCTGTCCAGCAAATTGGATGGTAACAATGTCTGTTTGCTATAACTGACTGCTGCATTGTACCTAAATGCAGCATTACAAGATAACCTTCACATGTACAGAAAGAAAAACCTTGAGCATATCATGCCCTGTTTTGGAACACTAATATATACATCGCTCTTGGACATTTCATTGTTATATTCATTCTTGTAGCACGGTAGATAGAACACTTTGAGCAAGGTCTGCGGCATTTTGCAAAGAGAGATACATTAATAATGGCATACTTGCTGAAAGGAAGCAGAGAAAAGGTTCAGTCAGGGCTTTCACTACATTTAAATGGTCTGTGATTTATTTCTCATAAAAATGTACCATCAGCTGACGTAATTAAAAGGAGTTTCACCAACCGACAAAAAGACCTTTTAAATCTCCCAAGGGACACTGTGCATCATTGGTCACAGCTCAAATCCATTCTGTGGATTTTAGATAATTGTTTTATTTTTCTGTTGGTGATGGCCACATCCCCGAAGCCAGAAATATGGTAGTTCTTCTGGGGGAGGTACAGCCAGTAATGAGCCTCATCCTTCAGGGAAGACAGATTACAAACTGTCAGTTTATGTTTTTGTGATTGCAGCAAGAGAACAGTGCCTTCATTAAAAAAAAACACAAGCCGACAACAGCAACAAGCCAGATGCTACACTTGTCCAAGAAAGACTAGTGCCGTATCTAGCATGTTACATAGTTACATAGTTAGTCTGGCTGAAAAAAGACAAAAGTCCATCTAGTTCAACCATAAAAACAAGCTGCTGTTGTCAGCTTGTGTTTTTTTGTGAATAAAAGCAATCTTTTCCAGCCGAAAATCGTTCACAACAACACAGGCTGACATATCTACACTCTCCATGCTCTGATAAGCTCCTGGCCAGTCTGTTGAGTCTGGATTAAGAGACTGGGGACAGAGGGTTTCACAGTAGAACTGGTCTGGCAGCTTAGGAGGAAGAGGGGTGGCAGTTATGCGGGTTGGGTGTGCACTGCCTGTCACTCCCCCTCTCCTTTGTCATTCAGAATTCCGTCTTCATTGTTTAGCATTGTGAGATAGCAGTGTTGGGAGGCAGGATCAGTTAACTGACAGTATTGCCTAGACAGAGACAAGTACTGAATGCTGGGGTATTTAACAACCTTTTTTGGGTTCTGGTGAGACTTTTTATTTAATTTGACGTTCTAGTGTTCCCTTTACACACCAGAAAAAAAGTAAATTATTTCCACTTGCTGTATCTATGGGCATTGTATAGAGAAAGTGAAGGCTTTACCCATAGAAACCAGATTTCTGAAATCCTATGCCTACAGAAGCTTATTGGTTGATGAAATTGGAGATATAGTGCTGGATTTGTAGGGTTAACTCACTGGTATTGCTGTCCTAAAGTATTCTACACCCCAGAGGATCTACATGGTCTCCTTAGTTTGTAGTGTTTTATATGAAATATTGATATTGATTGCTAAAAGGTCCAGATACAACTTTATTCCAATAAAATCAAGGGGACGATCCAAAAAGTGGCCTGTGCATTTTGGGGTCCAATAGTGCCCCTTCATCAGGTCTTGGATAGACTAGAATTGAACTGGTCCTTATGGTATTTTTCACTGTGAATTCAAACACAGGCCTTGTCAGCAGTTGCCAAACCCACAAAATGAGTTGGATACTATTTGCATTGTCCCCTTGACTTTATCAGAATAACATTTTATCTGGACCTCTTAGCAGTGTTGTGGCACTTTCAATTTCTATTACATTACAGAGACTCATAAAACCAAACAATAACAATATTTGGCTGCTATACAAAACCATTTTTTCTTTACAGAGGATTTCACAATCTTGATACTCTGAGAACCTGGTAATAACTGCAAGGCAATGATGTTGAGTGTTACATTGATGAATAGATCTCTCAGTGAGAATGATGGATGGTAAGAGCTCTGTCCATCCTCACTTGAGTTGAATGCCGTTAGCACTCACTAACCTCTCTCCCGTGATTCAACCTATGACATGATGCAGAATGTATGAAGTTAAAATGTTATTCCTTTTTCTCCACAGAAAAGGGAAAGTGGTGCTCAGTTAAGCAGAGGTTCTTCTAACTGGTCACAAAATAAGTGATAACAAATGCTCTAAAGCAGGGTTTCTCAACTAGGGTTCCTCCAGAGGTTGCTAGGGGTTCCTTGAGCAATTTCTGCCTCCCAGATAAGTTCCCACTGACACCATTGATCATTTTAGCTATCTGTAGAGGGTAATTTTTCCCAGTGACCACAAGTGTAAAGATCATTCTTCCCATGGACCATCAAACTAACACAGCCTTTCTCAACCTTTTCAACACAGAGGAACCCTTGAAATAAATTTCCATTCTCAGGGAACAACTGCTAAAAATTACTTTATCTCCAACTCATGATCACAGTGCGATGATCAGTAGGAAGAATGCTCCTTAAATTTGTGGTCATGGGGAAAATCACCCCTTTACAGATGGCTAGAAAAAAATCAGTGGTGCTAGTGGGAACTTATCTTAGAGCCAGAAATTGCTCATTGCTCAAGGAACCCCTAGCATCGTTTGGAGGAACCCAGTTGAAAAACCCTGCACTAACATATGATGAGTTGTAGATATAGTCATTTCATCCCTGAGACCAGAAAGTTATATCAAGGGTTCCCCTGTTTTGAAATGGTTGATAAAGGTTGTTCTAAAGCATTTTTGTACAGTAAACAAACTTGTTTGGCACAAAAATGGGCCATTATCCTAGAGCATCTCAAACCTAAATCATTGTCAAAAAAGCTGTCAAAGCTTCCTAGTGTGGAAAAACTACTAGTGTAGGTTACTTGCGTAATCTGTAAACCTACATGTCTACTACTTATTAAAAAACATAATCTTGTTGACCTTGTCTAACAGATGATGTGGTTGGATTTTCGGGGGATTTTGGCAGTGGTGTCGGTTGGGAAGATGAAGAAGAGAAAGAGACTGAAGATGCTGGGGAAGAGGCCGAGGAAGAAGAGGGTGAAACAGGAGAAGCAGATGATGGAGGATACATTTGGTAGAACCTCAGCAGCACAGTCCTGTCTGGGCCTTGCAGCCAAGTTTGGAAGACTGCAGTAAATAGTAAAGAGATGCCACAGTGATCAGGAAACACAGCTGAATGTACATTATATTTCAACAGAAATTGTGTGTGTGAGCATGCAAGTGTGCCTGTCGACTGACTGCTTTGAGATTGCAGCTCATTTCCTCCCCATAATATAGAGGAGCTTTTCTACTGCAGACAAAAGAAACTCATTTCTTAATTTTCTTTAAAGTCATGAGGATGTTTGCATATATTCTAGCACTGGACCATTCCATTCTTTATTCCAGAATCAAGCACACATGTCTGGGACACACTTTATCTCTCCTGGTGATGAGCTACTTCTAGCCACAAGTTAAAACACCATATATACATTAATCGTAAAACACGCCGTGTACATGTTAACAGTGTTTATATTACAATCCAGAAGGTGTTGAGTTATGTAGATGATTAATGGCACTTTTGGCTGTAAAAACACATATCAAACCTATATCTTGGCATTAACATAATGGGCAGGCTTAGAGTACATGCCTCCTTACATAATGACTAGGGAGATCAAACATAATATTAGTCTTTGTGTGACAACTGTGCATGATCAGAATGCAAGCTGAAATGTACTTTTGTGTAACTATTTTTATTTTGTAACATAATCTGGCCGTTATATCATGTCTGATTACTGCCACAGTGAAGACATCTTTCACGAATGGCGAACTGTGCATTACCCTCATGCAAATGGTACAACTTGATCTGAATTTGGAAAATAAACTGTAACTGAGTATTGCTGAGTGACTGCAACCTTCCATCACTGTATGGCTGATGCTCTGCTGCTAGCTGGTGTGGTGTGTAAGATGAAATACTGATCCCACACAACACTTTACAC